GGACAACCCCTCTTTGGAGGTCACGTCGAGGCTACACGCAGGATGCACCAACCTACCAGAGGCAGCGCAGACGGTAGACATAGAACGTGCCTTCCTGCCTGCCATGCGGGAACGCACCACAGTGCGGGTAGTCGTCGGCAACCAGCTGCAGTGCGCCATCCTTGAGATCGGATGGCCACAAAGCGTGCGCAGCGTCAGTGGCACCCTCAGGCAAACCAAGGCCAAGGCCAAAGGGAAAGGGAAAGACGGGGCAGCCTCGGGCAAAGAACCCACAACCCACCCCCCAGACCGCTCCACCGACGCCAGCGACCACACCAGCGTCTTGGTGCAGCGCAGCTCAGAGCTCACAGGCGTCTCTCTGAGCTTCCCTGGGCTGCGACGCCTCGCTGAGGAGCATCTCGCAAGCGGCGAGCTCACCATCTCAACCATTGACTCCAGCCAAGGCGGCGAAGCCGACCGGGTCATCTTCCTGAAAAACAAGGTCTGACTGTCGGCACGACTGGGGCTTCATGGACAACTCCAACAGAGTGAACGTGGCAATCACCCGCGCCACCCGCAATGTGGTCATCATCGGTGACGGGGGGATGTTCGGCGCCGCTACAGGATCGCGCCTACGGGAGCTCTCTGAGTACGGAAGGTTCGCCAAACTCTGGGTCCGCTTCTCGCACTCGGAGGACATGGGCAACAGGTGGACACTGGCGGTCGACAAAGGATTCGAACCCATCCGAGATCTCACCACGTGGATCCCTGAATCGCCCTCGCACACAGGAGACGGGGTCATCCAGGGACTCGACAATGCGATCGGGAAAGCTCGTGCCTCCATGGAAAAGAACTTTGCAGACCGGATAGCAGCGCCGCTCGACCCGGAGTTCTCCTGGGACAGCCTGGGTGACGCCATCAAAAACAGTATGCAGAGGCTCGTCGAGGACCCCGCCGTGGGAGTTGTACTATGCACAGTCTCTGGGCTTCACCCCCCCACCAATTCTCCATAGCCGACGCGCCGAGGCAGCCTGGCCGGCTCGACCGCAAGGCATGGAGCCATCTTGCTGCGACGTCGATCCGGGCATTGACGCAAGCAACCTGGTCTACAATCTGACGTGGGCTGCCCTGGTCTGGTGTCTCGGGCTGGGCACCCCCTGGGCTACCTCACACCTGGCGGTCCCCGAGGCGTCGCTCCCCCCCTACCCTTCTTGAAGGGCGTCAGCCGCCGCCCGAAGAGCACCGGCCGCTGCGCTCCCCCCGACGTGCTACAGCAGCTCCCAGAGGCATGGGGCCAAGAGACAGGGAAATGCAAGCGGCACCGCGCACACCCAGGAATGCAGCACCTGAAGTCCCTGCTCCGCCCAGGACAAGCCGACAAGCCGACTCAGAGCTACTGCGCTCTCTCCTCAGCAGCGACGGGCTCCCATGGACACCCCCACGCTCAGGGTCCTCCTAGTGGGTATGATGCTCCAACTGCGCGAGCCCCGAGCGACTCTATGGCCGTTCCCACGCCCAGAGGCCACCGGGGACATCTTCGAAGCAGCCATGGGCCTTTGCTACCCCTGGCAGAGTGCCCACAAAGAGTACAGAACCAAGTTTGCAGAGGCTTGGGGCTTCGACCTGAGTGGCCTCGCATCCCTCCACGGGAAAATGGAGGACACCATCAAGCATATCAGCACGCTCGCCACCTACGCCCACCACCACCAGGTTGCGACCAACCACGGTGCCCGACCACTTGGGCAGGGATGCTGAACTACAAGTTCACGCTGGAGGCCCCAATGAGGGTCCTGGAAGAGATTGTCAAACCGGCTGAGATCAAGTCCCTGAGCGAGGGAAATTGTTTCATCTGCACACTACACAAGGAGCTCAGCGGGACCGAGGACGGGCTCGGCTGCCCAGACTCAATGGCAGACCTGGAATACATCGGCGGGGGAATCGCAATGTCCAACAAGCGCCTCGACGAAGACTCCCCTGCATCCCCGGCCCCCGGTGCGACGCCCAACCCACCCAGGGTAAGTGGCGACAGGTTCCACACCAGGCAGCACGTCAGTAGCTTTGACTGCGACGGGTGCGCGAACACGGGGCTCAAAGAGAAGGCCGGCACCTGGGGGGATGACGGCGCAAGGGGACTTCTGGCACAAAACCGCTCCCAAGCGTACATGCAAGGCCAAAGCTGTAGGTGGCTGTGCGAGCAGTGCTGGATCAAGTCGCTGGAAAATAGGGGCATCGAGGTCCCCCTTGCCGCGCGAGACCTCAGCAACAAGAAGTCGCTCCAGCAGCGCCTACAGGCGTAGAAAGCACATTGGACCAGGCTCGCTACCACAGGAGAGCCCGCGCTCTCCCCCCCTGGATCTGCTCCCACGTGGGTGCGGTCGGTCGGATACAGCGCAGTCCCCCTCCTGCCTGCGTGACCTCGTCATGAACACCCCGCCCGTCTACAGGCCGCAGGCGGTCGGCGCCACCCTCCCAGCCCGCAAGCTGTCCGACGGCAGATTTGGGCCCGACTCGCACCGTACGAACACCTACTCCGCCATGTGCGACACCTGCCCTGTGGGGTCGCCACTGCTCGTGTGGTCGGCAACCAGTCCCGCACTCGGCTGCCTCATGTGGAGCCCGGAGCCAGGTGCGCCGTGCAACGCCGAGACAGGGCTACCGCCATGGGATGCCATGCCCACGCTCTGGACCCAGCGGCAGTGGAATGCAGGATGGGCGTGCAGACGGTGCCTCATCCACATCTGGAACGTGGCGCCCGGCACGATCGATCGCATCCTGGACCAGCACTCCTCTAGTGCATGCCCCATCGCCCCCGCCAGGCGCGCAGTGACAGCAGAAGTGCAGGAGGGAAGCTACGACATCAGTGTCTACCTCTCCCCAACTGGCGCCAACGCCGCGGCCAAGGACACGTGCTCAAGGCAATCGGCCACACGGGGCGAGCTCACCCCCAACGGCAGGGGCACGACAGCGGCGCAGGAGAAAGCAGCGAACCAGTCAAGGTCGGACGCGACGGCAAATACGTGTTCCCCGACGTGGACCCGCCAGAGTCCCCCGTTCTACCAACCCACTCCACCTTCAGGCTCTCTGGGGTGGAGTCCGACGGCCCCGTTCGCTCTTTGGTGAAGTACCTGCTGGAATGGAACCACTCCGTCTACATATGTTGGGCTGATTTCGCACAGCGGCACGGTGCAGACATCTCAGGGGGCAGAACCGACGAGGGGTATTGTGGCCCACAGCACGTCTGCTCCCTTTCCTGCGGATGATCTACGGGGATTCGATCCCGAACGGCTGTCACCCCCTCGACATCCCATGGGGCGGGCAGCGGGCCGCTGTGGCCCGAGTGGTCTACCACCTAATGAAATCCAGAACAAAAAAGCCAGTAGAGAATAACAAAGAAACCCATAAATAAAAAAATAAAAAACTAAAGTAAAAAAAATCCGAAAAACTAAAAAAAAGAAAATATCCAAACGTGAAAACCATACAAATGGGACATCTACGCTGCAGTTCTGACAGAGCAGAGAGGCCAGTGCCCCCTCCGACAGCGGAGCAGCACACTGCTGACATTCCTCATGGGAATTGACAAGGACGCCCTGGCCTACGGTACCATCGCCGCCCTGGCCAACCGAGACCCGCGCGAGGCGGGCGCAGGCTCCTCAGGGGCGGGTGATTCCCCAGCAGCAACCTGGCTGAACAGAGCAGTCGAAACCGAGGCCCCCCCCCCAGCAGACAGCCTTGGTCCTGAACATGAGGACGCCTCTGCCCGTGCTCCCAGAGCGA